TCTATTTACAGACTGCCTCGACCCACTCACCTTATGCCAATTAACACGCCACGTCTATTAGCTGTCAAGTTCAGCCCCGAGACCAGTTGACTACTGCTCTCCAGAGATGGTACGAGACCAAGGACAAGGTCAGCAGACACATTCGCTGCTGCGAGAGCCGGCCTCGTACCCAAAGGAGAGAACAAAGCGTCGTCAAAGAAAATCCCCAACCCTTAGTCACACTGCAGCGGTGCAGCACGGACGATGATAGACAGTGTCATCCAAGTGTGCCGATTGAACTAGAAGAAAAAACGCCAACAGGCCGGTTCCTGGGGAATCGGCCAACTAGTTCGTAGGATAACTCCTCAACCGACAGGCCACATCAAGTCAACAACCCCCAATACGGAGGCGTGGTGAGACCGACTACCAGTTGCCTGTACAGTAATGTGAGCGGGCTAAGAGGCAAAATAGCTGAACTTAGACACCTATAATCACAGCTGAATTCCAAAATCATAACACTGACGGGAACCCGGCTAACCCCTACGGTGGCAGACAGCGAAGTCAGTATAAATGATATGGTCCTAGTCAGGCGAGATAGGGACCTGAAAGGAGGAGGTGGAGTCGCCATATACGTCAACAAACAGCTCAGATGTGTTCACGCAATGGAACCTCCACTCATTGAGCTCCCTGACTCCATATGGTGCCATTTCACTGCAAATATCTAGTGGGCAGCATTTATCGATCACCTTCATGTGGAGCAGACCACAACCAGGTACTCCTGAATACAATTTCAGCGACACAAGACATGGGTTATGATCAAACTGTCATAGCTGGCGACTTCAATGCCCCATCTCTTAACTCGATGACGGGATATGCCCATGATAGATTTGATCGAAATCTGCTGCACACCATCAGCGAGGCTGGATTCTCTGAAAATTTCAGGATGGATACTAGATGGGGCCCAGATGTGAAGTCTTCTAGACTGGAATGTGCGCTCACTGGTGACCAGCTACTAGTGGAAAACGTTCAGATCACGACTTCGATAGGTAGTAGTGACCACGCGGTCATAGTATTCGACATAGTCCTCCGCGAGCGCTTACAGTGGGACAATACACAGCCCTATCTGTGTTATAACAAAGCCAATTACACTGAAATGCGAAGACTTTTGTCTGAAGCAAATTGGCTAACAGTAGAAGAACACTGGGGAGTGGTAAAGGAGATCATTCACCAGGCGGTTTCAGACACTGTTCCTTTAATAATAATTTATATTTTCATATAAACATAAATTTACATGAAAATGCATGCCATTTTTACAGGCACGATCAAGTATAATATAATGTCAAATAGTAGACTGTCTACAAGTTATTGTTTGAACAGCTAAATATTCGATATATGTATAAATACACTCTTTGTCTGACCCATGTCGTATCATTATTGAATTAAACAGCAGTCCTCCAGGTTGCGCAGGAAAATCGACTTCGTTACGTTTTCAACCCGTAGTTGTAGGCATACGATAACCAACCAATATTGAGGTAAGTACAACGTTTACAAGGGATAGTAAGCTGTTTTAGAAAAGTAAAGGTGCTAAGGTGGATCATTAAAGTGTAATGAAATAGGTAAGTGCAATGTATCATTAATAGATGCATTCATAAAAGAAATACAATGGGAGACTATAATCCCTAGGCTGACGAAGTTCATTTGCAATGTATAATGCTACCCTATAGGTCTTACTATCATGATGTCCACTTCTGGTTTCATACAATTATCCACAAGCCGGTTGTTTTAATTTCATACCTTTTTGTGTATTTGGTGCACAACCGTACCTTATAGAGAATAGGAATAAAGTAAGTCGAATCAAATTCATAAAGAGCAATTAAATGTTAGTTTTACTGGAATATAATGAGCGATTGAAGACCTTATTAGAAAATGAATGAGATGAGACATTGTTAAGTGATATTCGAAGAAGCGACAAAGGAAAGCATGTTAATTTATAAGATGCCCCATAAATCTGTGCAGAGCCCACGTGGTCGCATCTCAGCAATAGGCTGACCGAATGGTATATGTTTAAAGGTAGAAGCATGATCTGTCTAGGCGATCATTATTACCTTTTTCAAGATAAAGATTCAAGCCCTCATAAAAATCTCGAGCCGTCAAATTGCATATTGCTGTTCCTGCAGAATGGGGCAATTCACCTTAGTGTCCACCACCATATCTACTGATCGGCATGCGCCACCCTCCCTCCTTTTATGATGTTAGGCTCTGATTATTATGGCTACAGCAAACATATCGCTTGATTCCGGTCACGTTCGTACCTCACATTCCATTTCCCTAGCTTTCTTAGTGAGTGCTTCCAATAGTTCTCCACGTACAGATTTATGAAGATATTATATATGTGTGCATGCGTCCTAATGAACAGATTAGTTTATAAGATGTTAAACGCATAAAGAGTCACACCAAAAGCTAGGAAGCAACGTTCATGGCTAAAAAGGGGACACAACGCCTTCTGTAAGCGAAGCGAAAAGCCTGGTTTGCGTGGTGAGTATCGAAGAGTCAACCCGAACATGAAGTATACCTTGAACTCAGGAATCGATGTAACATACGAGTCCGGAGTGATAGAAGGACATTTCAGGTAAACCTCGCCAATAAGCTTCTCGTGAACCCCAAAAGCCTATACAGGTTTATGTCTGAAAGAAAACCGACCAACCAGGGAGCTTGCAATATAGTGGGTTCTGATGGGAAATCTCTTACTAGTCTTGAAATGGCAGAGACATTCAGTCTAGCCTTTCACAGGCAACTAAACAGTAACGAGGATTTTACCCCTACAAAACATCAAGATTACAATGCAAAACCAACGTGCGAAAACCTGCTGGGTACATTTCAAATTACTTCGGATATGGTACTAGTCTGCAGGTTGCGATGACATGAGACCATCCGTCCTGAAGCAGTGTTCAGAAAGTCTCTGCCAACCCCTAAGCGATCTATTTCAACACTCCTTTGATGTAGGGAAACTTCCATGTGAATGGAAACGAGCCATCCTATCCCCAATCTTCAAGGGTGGTGACCGGCAGGATGCGACCAGTTACAGACCAGTTGCGCTACTTCCAGTGATATCGAAGATATAGGAGAGTCTCATTGACGACCGCATGAGAAAATACTTCGATGGGACTAACCTACTCCATGAAGCACAGCACGGCTTCAGGAGGGGAAGATCCTGTGTGACGAATCTTCTACTAGCTTGGAACGACTGGACACTATCCTGGGACGTAAAAGTACCAGTCCATGTGATCTTTCTCGACTTCGCGAAAGCATTCGACACAGTTCACCATGGTCTGCTCCTTCACAAAATAATCAAGGCGGGTGCTTCTGGAGCACTTCTCGCCTGACTGAAAGATTACTCAGGCGAGAGAGAATTCTGCACCAAAGTCAACCGCATCCGATCATCCTGGCACACCTTGGCATCAGGGGTTCCTCAGGGTTCTATCTTAGGGCCGTTGATGTTTGTGATTTTTATCAACGACCTGCCCTGTCAACTGAACTGCTCTGCGCTTCTTTACGCTGACGACGTAAAGATTAGGAGAGCAATAAACTCATCGGAAGACTCAGACAGATTGCAGGCTGACATGCAAACTCTGGAAGACTGGGCTCTGGTTAACGGAATGCCTTTCAACCTAAAGAAGTGCAAAGTAGTGCAACTTCATTCCGGCAGATCACAGAGTGTAAATTACACCCTCGGTGGCCAGAACTTGAGTTGTGTGCCATCAGAACGCGACCTAGGTCTTATTTTAACAGAAAAGCTAGACACCAGTGTAAATTACACGAGGGACGTCGCCAAAGCTTACGCAACTTTACACTTTATGCATAGGCAGCTGGGAGCTCTTACTCCCGGACTATTCTTAAAGTATATTCTTAAAGTATACGACATACGTGAGGCCACACCTTGAGGTGCATAATATCATTGCTCCTCCGCTACTCAAAAGGGATGCTGACATTCTAGAAAGTGTCCAGAGACGAGCGACAATATGGGTGATCGGCCTCCGCAACCAATCATATGAGGAAAGACTGAAGAAATTAAGTCTTTTCACACTCAGTTACCGTTGTCACAGGGGAGACCTCATCACCGTCTACAAGATCTTAAATGACCAGACCCACCCAAATAAAAGCATCCTGCCATTAAGTGATTATAGGCTTCCACGAGGTAAGGTTGAGCATGAGGCTAGCAACCTCATCCTTTGAAAATTAAAAAACTGCCACAGAAACTTCAAGCCTCTAGCTTGGAGCCCTATGTTCCACTGGGAACGTGAAGAAAAAAAACGAGGTAACCCGCTAAGGATAGCACACCAGAGACCAAAGACTCGAGTGCGCTCACATTTCTTTTCGCTTCGAGTTTGCCGTCTCTGGAACGCTTTACCGGCGGCCGTGACTACAGCGCCATCTGTGGAGACTTTTAAGTGGAAGCTGGACAATCACGCAGAAATGCATGGTTTGTGTCTCAATGGCTTATCCTCTTAAAATTTGAAACCACACTGTCAGTGGATAAGCATACAAGCTAAATCCCCACGACCCGTTCTGTCTTCTCTCAATGTACCGACTACTCTATCTTTTCCTTAGGTCACCTTCATTATTTCACTTATCTCAACCTATATTATCCACTTTACAACCTATTATTATTATTACTATTCTGCTTTTATGACTACACCGAATGACCAACGGGAGTTAGGTCAAACTCCATTCACGGCAGCAACTCAGTCCTAACATACTGCATACTACAAACCACATTTTGACCAATCCCCGCACCACTCCTCTTGGAGTCTACCAGAGCTAAAGCAGTCGAGTGGCGGGACTTACTACACATAAGTTCACCGAAGATCTGGAACCTCTACGTTAGAATCAAGAAGCAAGCTCAAAGAAATCAATGGTTTATACTAGCCCGTAATCAGAATATTGGATATTAGATAGTGCAACGTTGGTGAAAGTGACCTTGAGATTTGTTTTACTCACCTAATAAAATTCTGTTGTTGTGGCGTTTGCTGAAGTCCTTTCAAAATGCTTTTCTTGAACAAATAAAATGGCGGAACTAAGTTATCACATGATGAGGACTGCTAATCAGGCTAGAGAAGCCGTAAGATGCTATATCTGTGTTTATCACTCTTTAGGAAGAGCAGCGTACCACCGCAAGAAAGAAAAACCTGCTAATATTAGTTATGCATTATTTGAGTGAAGAAGGGTAATTGCTATTATTAGTGTTATTGTGGAAGGTATGTTGAATCAGCGAATTCTTTGTCAAAAGAAACCAACCTGGATTTCCGAAAGTACGAAGTATGTGACAATGTTGATTTGGAAACAGTTTTGCTGGAATATGAAAGTTACTACTATGTCAAATTCCAAAAGTACCCAAGAATAACTAAGAAGCTATCAGGTTTTATAAATTTTAATGCCTAATTCTACTGAATCTAGATAAACCTTTGAAGGGAGATAAATTGCGACATTTGAACGGTTCAGCAAAAACCAAGAAGTAGGTTTGTGTTAAATGCCAATTGTAATCAGCCCATTGTATTTGAAAGGCGACCTTCTTTGCCCCACATTAGCAATAGACAAAACTCAATGCTTGATAATGGACAAAATTACTCACTAAATTCTCCGAACACTGATGAGAATATTTCCACAAACAAAGTAAGTGCTATGGACTAATAATATGACAAGATTACATACCTAAATATATATTAAACTTACAAATCATTCTTGCAACGATTGCTGCACAACAGTTGCTTGTTAGTTTTGCAGCTTACCTAATATCATAATAGTTCTTCCAGTCTACAACATGACTGTTTCAGTTTTTATTTTATTTAATTCACGTAGACAACATATTCTTACAGTAACTTGAATGTTAAAGGTTTCTGAATTTTTGTAAAGGTTCATTTTGTGACGTTTAGATTCGATTTTGAACCCCCATATGTAAACTACGACTTGACGACCGTTTTAAACTATTACAAGTAGCTAAGTGGTTGGACATGTGAACCGTTTCATTTGCCTAGGAAGTTGCATTAGTTCTTTTGAGTTGACAGCCGATGAAATCATAACCATGAATAAATATTTCAGATTTTTTGTGCTACATATTTAGTAGACGAGGCATTCAACACTCCGACCTTTTCCGTCTTCTACATTCCGCAATTTTTTCTCAATTCCCCTACTGAATGGAGTAGACAGATTTAACAGTTTGCATTGGCATTGTCACCTGTTAACAAGACATCTGATGGCTTAACATCTATCCATTTCAGGGAATATTAATTGAGGACTATTGCTTGGAATCGGTAACAGTTTGGAAAGTGTTTGTGTGTATGAATGTTTGGTATACTATTCGAGACAATTTTTCACCGAATTTTTAAAAGTTTTCAAAAGTTATAGCGTACATTTCCAAAGACTCGAACAGATAATCGACACCTTCAGCTGGTTGAAGACTGTTGTTTATACGGCTGAAAATCATTCACAATGGTCCAGATGCATTCATCACTTATCAGTCCCCATATTTTGATAAGTCTTCATTAATCTTCAGTTAATTATTCCTTTCATCCAAAGGATGTATATCCATTTTTGAAAGATTAATTTTCTATTCTCTTATGTGTGATTTCACATAATGTGATGAGTTGACCTACTGTACGTCTGTGTTAAGTTCTACATTGATTCTTTCTTTCATTCTAGACTCTTCTCTAAATTCTTTACACCTTACTTGATTTTACATTCTAGGTAACAAGAGCACGTGCAGAAAATGGATTAGGCCACGAAGTAAGTTCCTTGCATACTCTATGCCCTTTTATAGAGGTTTATTGTTCAGTATATCACATATTTGCATACTATTGTGGGTGCATAGTCTTGTCTAGTAGACAGGTTTGTTCAAGTCACTGAGAAAAGTACAAAGGTGAACAAATATGTTTTCCAGTGTTCTGTATTATATTTTTAGTTACTTTTCCCCATTTCACCTTTTTGTACGATTCCTGTAAATGTCGTAGTGGTAGGTTATTTGTCTTTTAAAGTGTTTTGTACAAACCTGTGGCTGAAATCGAGGATAGTAGTGTCTTAAGTTATTACCTGATTAGGCTTAAAACTCACTTAAATCATTCTAAACTAGTTTTCAAGTCAGCGCTTCCAATAAATAACCGATGACGGTCCTCAAGTGCTGTCACATAGCTATGTTTATTATTATTATTGTTTCCTTTAATTCCTAGAGGAACATAGGGCTTCAGCCGTGCGTCTCCATTGCGTTCTGTTCTCTGCTAGAGTCTTCACCTGGTTCCAAGTCTGCCCACAAGTTTTCATCTCCTCTTCACATGACCTCCTCCAAGTCACCCTTGCACTGACGACCAACTCACCGCTTCCTATTCGGGTTCCACTCGAGCAATGGCTTGTCTAGTGATGTCACTTAATGGTTTCCTCAGAGTATGGTCAATCCATCTCCATTTCTTCCTGCCTATTTGTTTCACAATCGGTTCCTGGTTGGTTCGCTCCTAGAGACCCCTATTGCTTATCTTTTCTGGCCGGCCACCTGATCTTGAGTACTGAGTGAAGGCAGCTGTTAATGAAGGTCTGTAATTTGTTTGAGATGCTCTTTATGACGCGCAGTGCAAGTCTCTGATCCATAAAGTGTAGCACTGACTTCACATTGGAGTTGAAAATCCAGATATTATTTTTGATGCTGTGTGATGTTGACCTCCACATAGACTTGAGAGTAGTGAAAGCTTGTCTTGCTTTTCCGATTCTTGCTTTAATATCCTCGTCAGTTCCGTGCGCCTATAGTTGAAATGATGCTTCCCAGGTAGGTAAAGGAGGTTGTTTCTTTCAGGTTCCTCCCATTTATGCTGATAGTTGTCTGTTGTTGTTGTTCTTGTCCAGGAATCTTCATTACCTCCTCATTGCCCGCTGTTTGTCGCATTATCCAGTCTACTGCAATCAGGAAAATCATTGGCGATAGTAGGCAGCCTTGTCTTACTCCTGTCCTCACTTTGAAGGATTCCGTTCAATACTGTCATAATCTTTCTGACTAAAATTTGGGATAATGTAGATTGTTGAAATGACTAAGAATATATTCAAAACTTACAAATTTATAGGAGTTATACAACATTTTAACATGATGCATTCTTCTGTCTTATTTTAAAATGTACCAAAATTCTAAACGAAAAATAGTTTGATAAGGGAAATAGCACTCATGTGTAGTTAGCAAGCTGAGTATCTCCGACAAAAGTCTGGCGCCCGTCAGAGGAAGAATTCACAAAAGTATGAATACAAAGCGAAGATGGAACTTTCACCCACTACACTTAAACTGTAAAGTATAGAATATGTCTACTTGGACTCTTCTTGTTTTAGTTCAGATATTCACTTGGTTTATGCTGTATAGCCTAGATTGTATGTGGTATCGAGTAGAAACTGCAGTTTGTCGACTTTATCCATCTAGAAAGCTACATTATCTTGTTATTCATTATAATTCAGAACTACACTTGACAGAAAAGTGTCATTCTTGTTGCTAGTTAGATATTCGATTTAGTAGTGATAGTGATAATAATAATAAATTTATTAATGACGACATGCATGTCAAACATGCTCAGGATAATGACAACACTAACAATAAGGAATCTAAATCATCAGTAGTACTTCCTTCCATACAAAGAAGGGACCTCGGAAACCTTACGGCAGAGAATTCTTAACAATGCAGGAATAAAAGCGGTTGGCATTCACACCCACAAACTCAGTTTGAAACAAGCTTTGTCGGTTGAAGGATCCTGCCAGTGGAGCCTTTAAAACAAAACAATTTAGTTTATTTAATACCCTGCTAGATACATAAGTCAAACTAGTAAACAAGGGCAGTCAGACTAGCTGAGCATACAAACCTAGCAATATCTAGATTAGTTAACCCGAATAAGATAAAAAATCTAGAGAATAGTTCACCTATAGCACTCACTAAATGCAATTACACACAACCAAAGAATACGATGAGATAAGATGACAGTTTTAAAATCTAACAGAAGCTTTGTTTATCGAATCAAATGCAAACACGTGTAATAGGAATGATTCAACACCTATCCACCCAGATATCTGGAAAATTCTACTACCCCTACGACGACAAATGGGAGAGAACAAAGAAAACTATAAAACTCAAGTTTCGAAGTCATGTGATTACAATTGATATGATTATGAACAATAAATTTTTGTTAGAAACGTCATCCAGTAAATAATACTATTTCAGTGACTGTGTGATACATCTAATAAACAAACTAATATGGAATTACTTAGTACCACAGTGTCCAAATTTTATACATGTACTATTTAAGTTATCATCTCACTGCAGTTACCATGAGTAATGCTCAGCTATTGTGTGAGTGAATGATGCACTACTTTCTTTATACTATTCTCACACTAGCTGCCAAGCTAAGTCTCCTTTTGTCAGTTATAAGAAGAGAAGAATAGCAGGTTGTTGATTAATTTTGACACTGTTCAACTAAGCCATTCATCAAAAATAACCTACTCAATCAAGAATCTAATACAGACTCACCATCGATTATGACAAACAGTTGCTCATGTTGGATTTGTTAACTGGGCAATACTGAGGTTAGGGACATACGTTTATGTATTATTACGCAAGTAATATCTTGAGGCTATCAAACAATAGTCATTTCACTGGTTGATACTTGGAATAAATTTTTTTCATGTACCTAACTATGAGCAACACTTATTGTGTTACCAGTTACCCATGGTGAAATAGGTAAGCAGGGGTCGAACTCAGGACCCATCGCCTGGTATTCAAGTGTTTTGGCCAGTGAGCTATATTCATTTCCATTGAAGTCACCTTACTCTTGATTATATTCGAACGTCCAAAGGATTTTATCCATGGTTATTCATACATTCTCTCCCTCTCCCATCCCCGTACTCGATCTATTTGCGTTGATATTATTCTATTTCTATTGGTTGCCTTTCCTCCTGCTCTACTGGTTGTTTTTTTTTTTATTCCTTCACGTTCCCAGTGGAACATAGGGCTCTAAGCTGGAGGCTTGAAGTTTCTGTAGCAGTGTTTATTTTTACAGGATGGATTTGCTAGCCTCATGCCCAACATTTCCTCTTTACCAGCTTTATTTCTGGTTTATCGAGGCAAAGGAGTGCGTCGATGGCCGGGTATCGAACCCCGGACCATGTGCATGGTCGGCGAGCTGTGCCACCGACGCACGCTCTACTGGTTGGCTTGCATAAAATATGCTACCACAGTTTGTTTTATATCTCTCATAATTAACGGTTATTTCACTTACAATATTGCTATTTTCTTTGTTAATCAAATAAAGCCAATTGAAATTAATCGATTGTCCAATGGTTTAAGTGTACAAGGCAAACAAGATCCTTCTATACAAACATCAGGACGTTCAATTAAAAGTAGTATACCGTTAAGTGTTTCACACCACCAACACATGGATTCAAATCAAAATGGACATCTCCCTTCTTCAAATCGACAAGGTTTTCCACGTCAGATTATCGATTATAGAGCAATGCTTAATCAAGAAACACGTTTACCTTTGGAAGAGAATAATCACCTTTCAGAAGATCCACAAGTATGTACAAAAAGTGTTAGAAGAGATTTTTTTCCCTTGAATTTTTGTTTCCTTTTTATGAATTTAAGTAAATGATAGTTGCACTCCTGTGGAGCTAGTTATATAGGTGGTACTCAGAGGGCTTTATCAATGTACATGCATAAATATGTAGTTCTATGGTTGGGTAAAGTGGAAGTCAAGTGTTTAAATACTGCGGTCTTAGCTCACTTAGCGGATATCCAACTAAACCGGAATAAGCGTCCTCTACGACCTAATATGTAAGCGACAGTCTGTCCAGAAGAGCTCGACTACATCCTCTATCACGAGGTGAGACCATAGTAATCAATACCAGTAGAGCTGGTCTTTGTATTCCAGAAGGTTTGCTTACCTTGACCTACAACAAGGTCAATAAAGCCTCTACAAATGCCAACAATTGACACCTTAAACCCCTATCAGACTGCTTTTCCCTTCTACCTTCATTTCATTGAAGATTATCTTCGTGACCTTGCTTATTATTTCTACTGTCCAATGTTTACGTAATGTTGGTTGGAGGGTTTCATCATGGGTTGACATCAGTTAGAGAAACATTGGATAACCAGGTGGGAGTACTGGACAGCCAACCGTTTCGTCAGCCTAGTTTGAGTTCCTTCAACAGTACGCACCCACCAAAGGAGTTCGAACCCTGGACCTTCTGATTACAGCGAGTTCGTAGACCATTAAGCTACTGGGACCTAATCCAGTAGCAAGCCCATGAATTCTAACTTCTGCCAATTCATGACATAGGGCGACCACTTCGGTGAGATACTGCCTCACCCTACTGGTCATAGCTTCCCACTAGAACCCCAGGTTAACTACCTGAATAGGGCTAGTCTCTAATGAGCATCAGATTAATTTTCAAGTATTGGTTTTGTAGAGATTGCGTTTGATTGTTTGTAGGGTTTCATAATGAGCTGACATCAGTTAGAGAACCATTGGGAAACCAGATGGGAGTACTGGGTGGCTGTTTCGTCCCAGTTTGGGACTCTTCATCAGCAGGCAAATACCGGGGTTCGAACCCAGGGCCTTCCCGTTACAAGTCGAGGCAAGGTATTAGACTATTCAGCCTCAACTAGCTATTGTATACTAAAACTAATGGATTTATAATTGTAGAGTCTGAAGAAGGGGTTACTGAAACCGCAAGTGTTCTCTACAATCATTCTTGTTAAGAAACAAGAGAGTTAATATTACTTAGAATCAATAGCATCAGTTGGTGGTTAGTAATCAACCTCAAGTTCGAGATCAGATTTATAGTAGGCTGACAAAATTAAGTTTTCAGAACACTGTTGTTCACTGTGATGCGTTGTAATTTCCTGGATAGTATTACTACAACTCATACAATAGGTAGGTGTCAAGTAATCATCTACTGTGCAAAGTTGTAGCGGGTCTCTGAGTGTATCCTACTTGTTATCAAGCGACGAAAATGGCAGAATATAAAATTTATAGGCTGTTTTGATACATCATAATACTCTGTGAAGTTAGTAGTATGAATAAAAGGTCTCAGCTGTAGTCTTTTATTATGAAGGTGTACTTTGACTGGACACTAATGTCATGTGTCTAGTCCTTCGTTTGTTGCAGGCTGAATTCTATCGGTCACATTTGCAATATGGTAAACAAGCTAGGTGGTTCACTATCACACTGCACTCTGAACTGATTTTATGTGGTTGGAGGTAATGGATGAGAAGCTTTGGACCTAAGTTTCGTACTTGTTATTACTCATCAGTCAGCAAGGCGTATCTACAGTCCTGAAGGAAGTAGTGTCCCTCCTAGATTCTAACCCAGGTCGCTCGATGCTGCAAGACAGTGGTAACGTCTCCGACTGCAGCACTGAGTGACCCTTTTTCGAATCTAGCAGGGACACCACTTTCCTCAAAATTGCAAATTCGCCTTGCTGACGAGTGCTAAAAATTTCGAAACTTAGGTCCAAGGCTTCCTGCCCATTGCCTACATCCATCTAACAAAGGGGGTATGAAGGTGTCCAGAACAATATTATAACAAAACTGGACACAATGCAAACCACTCACTGTATATGAAGTGCTTTTTACTAATTCACTTTAAGCGTAAAACAAACGAACGTTGGATTATAAGGATTCCGTTGATATTGTCATAAACTGACATCAGTTAGAGACACAGACAGCACTATGAACAGGCGTAGCAGTGGCTCCGTGTCGCACAAATCTCTAGAAGTTGAAATTTCTAGGAGTTCTCGGGTTCTAAGATGGTGGCTGTGAGTAGCCAACGCATTAGCTTGGTTCGTAACCAATACGTTCTTTGGTTTGATTGTTGGTGCACTGCTGGGTGTGTTTACTGGGATGAAATTGCTCTCCAGTACGTCTTAGTTTCCAGGGGCTCTCAGTATAAAGTAACGCTGACAATTATTACTTCATAGCGAGAGAGTCGTCAGTAACCCTAGGAGAAAACTGTTTTTAAATTATAATAGTCATATTAACAATAATATTAATAACTTGAATTCATTTTACAGGAACGTTTACTCAAACCCCTGGGAAGTTATTTAGGCTATACTGGTGAATGGAGAAGCCTAGCCTTAACCATCTCACGTGTAAGTTTGTTTTAAATGCCATTCCATATTAATTTGTTCATTGGATATACCACACACAGAGTGAAATTGTATTATTATTCACTGAATAACGAGGTTACGAACACAAAATTATGATTGTTCGTAATCCTATCATCAATAGTGAGTACATAACTTCAAAACTTGAGACTTTTAAAGTTCTCTTTGTTCCCTCCTATTTGATGTAGGGGTAGTAGCATTTCCCTGATGCCCGGCTGGACAGGTGTTGAATCAGTTCTGTAGAATGCATTTTCAGTTGATTCGATTAATAAAACTTCCGTTATCAATTTCTCCCTCCACCGTATTATATTAGATTTAAGTACCAAAGCTGAGCTGTTTTCTAGAATTCTTATCTTATATTAGGGTCAAATAATCTAGATTTTGTTAGGTTTTTTTGCCCCACTAGTCTGACTGACCCCGTTCCACTTCTCTGACTTGTGTATCTGACCTGGCAATCATTGCAAGTAGGGTATTAGATAAACTAAATTATTTTGTTTCTAATGTACTCCATAGACACCTTTTTTTTCCTTCACGTTCCCCAGTGGAACATAGGGCTTCAAGCTAGCGGCTTGAAGTTTCTGTAGCAGTGTTTATTTTACAGGATGGGGTTGCTAGCCTCATGCCCAACCTTTCCTCTTCACCAGCATTATTTCTGGCCATGCGAGGTGAAGGAGTGCATCGGCCGGGTCTCCAACCCCGGACCATGTGCATGGTTGGCAAGCGTCCTAACCACTATGCCACCGACGCACCATAGACACCTTTAACCTGCATAATTCGTATCTAAGTGAGTTCGTGGATTTGAACGGCTTTTTTATTCCTACTTTGTTAAAAATTCTCCGTTCCTTCTTTGTTTGGAACCACTACAGGTTTGTTAAATTCCCTATTGTTGATGTTTTCATCTTTCTGCGTATTTTCGTTATCTTTGTCGTCCCTATTATTATTATTATTATTGTTTTTAGTAGTAGTAATAATAATAATCTTAATTTTACAAATTCCTACATCAATTTCCTGATCAATTTATCGTGGTAATTACTAAGTTTCAAAACTTTTCCTCTCTGTCTTGATTCCTGTCTTAGATGTTCTCTGGTACTACTCAGTTTTGTTGCCCTAAAACTTAGGAGTTCCACTAATCCTCTTTTTACTGACATAGGGTGGGATGATCGGAAATCCAAATATCGGTTTCACAATGTGAGTTCTCTGTAAAGACTAGTATTTAACTTCCCATCCATGACCCTACTGAGGATTGAGCCCAAAACCCTTAGGTTACGAAGTGAACGCCTAACTATTCAGTCACCGCTTCCGCAATCTAATGGCCTGACTATTTCTAACTTCCGTAAATTTAACATTTTGATGCAGAATAGATGTTCTGAAAGAAAATGCTTGGTTTCTCCTTTCTCTCTAAACTCATTTACATATTACTTATCTCTTTATTTATTTATTCAGGATATATTCCTTCAAAATCCCAACGTTCGATGGGATGATATAATTGGTTTAAGTTCAGCTAAACGTCTTGTAAAAGAAGCTGTTGTATATCCAATTAAAGTAAGTAGAATTATTGATTTCTTGTCTTTAATAAAAGAATGTTCAAAATATTACTTGGTGGATAGTGATTGGCAGTGGAATCTACTAGGACACGCATTTCGTCCTATTTGGAACTCGTCAGCTGAATGTGTCTGCCATCTCCGACAGTGAGTAGTGTTGTTCTCACTGAGACTAGCACCCACTGGCCCTACCTTTCAAACTCCAAATCTTTATCCACTGCACCACTTGAGCCAACGAGTATCAATTGTTTCTCCATTGTTTTGATTGGTTGGACGGAAATAACATCATGTTAATCGTTAAACATCGTCGAAGCATCCGTACAAGAAGCCGACATACCAACAGATGCCAGACACTTTGGTTCAGTCAGCCAGTGGGAAAGAACAAAGTTAACTCTAGCAAAAATAGGAATGTTTAACACACTATGGATATTTTTCTTTTGTAATTGGACACTAGTCAGTAGCTAGTGTAATGTGTATATCTAGTCCTTTCTTTGCTGCAGACTGAATTCTATCAGTCAAGTTTACAATGTGACCAGTATGCTTCGTGTCACTGTGAATTGTTGATGTTAGATGGTTGGAGGCAATCGGCCACAGGAAGCCTTGGATCTAGATTCCTTCGAGGTTGCAGATACGCCTTGTGTTGTTGAGTGAGTGCCAACTAGCACGAAACTTAGGTCCAAGGCTTCCTGTGGCCGATCGCCTGCAACCAACATTTCATAGTGCACCGTGATGGCAAGTCACCTAGCATGGAGGCCACATTGCAAACTTGACTGACAGAATTCAGTCTGCACCAAAGAAAGGACTAGACACATCACACTAGTTACTAGTGTCCAATCAAAATATTCACTACAGTCCTACAGGGAGTCAATCGCGAGCCCGAATAGCTCCTCAGTGGTAACGTCTCTGCTGCAGCAATGAGTGACGCGGGTTCGAATCTCAGAAGGAACATGAGTTCCTTCAAGATTGCAGATATACGCCTTGCTGACTCGTGAGTACCAACAAGTACGAAACATAGGTGAGGCAAGGCTTCCTGCCAATTGCCTCCAACCATCTAACATACCATCCTGTGCAAACATCCTGACACACACATATGTCCCACAGAAGTTCAGATTTATTGATGAAATAAAATTTGAACACTGAGTACACCATATTCGTCATTATAAAAAGAACTTTGTATTTCCAAATGAATGAGAAAACAAAATGATATTGTTACCTTTGTTACTGACATTTCAATATTTATAATCTACTGCTAATACCTTCACCAAAGTAATACTAAACCAGAATTTACAAATCTTATTATACAGTAACTTGATCACATAGTTCTTCAGCATGTCAAGTAGACGAATTTGTAAAGATAATGAACCACGTGCATTGGTGTTTGAAACGATGGGTACTGTGGGGACACCATCACTCACTGGTTAGTGCAGATATATTTGGCTAACGAGTTCGAGATAGAACGAAATTTTCACTCCACATTCCATTGCTAGTCACCAAAAACTAATTCAGGCACAGATTGTTAGATATGATAAGTGTATGAAATTATAAAAACAGTTTGTGTTTAAGTAACTTGAAAATCCCCATTCAGTCATATAAAAGAAAAGAAGGCGTTCAGCGAAGAGACTTTTCGGGGAATTCATTCACTGAGCTGTACAATCGCATATTTATACAATTTTGTTTGTGTGTGTGTGCATTAGATTTATAAAGTTTAGATAATTATGGAAACAAACGTTAAGATGGAAATTAAAATAGATTTGATTAACTGGGTAGAATTCAGATTAGGTCAGGTTGGCAACAATGTTAATGAGTGGTGTTTAAAATCAAATAAGGGTGGGGTTAGAGAATAATACAGTTGAAAATAAGTAAGTTGATCGGATGACGTAACGCAGTTGACTAGAAATTGGACATGGGTCAAGTTAGTAACATTGTTAATGAGGGTAGAGATTACAAAAGGGTGGGGTAGAGAATAATTTAAGTGAAGATGTGAAATAATAAAATGCAAGAGACAAAATAATACAATTATTAAGACTGAAATTAAGAAAGATTACGTCCATTGTAGATTTAATGAATGAACGAATTTCTTTTGTATGCAGAGTTCATGATTTAGCAGATGAATTGCCATTGCTTCTACGATGTGGAGAAGTTTGATCCGTACACTTTTAGCAAGATTGCCTTGTATTCTGTAGATAACTTTGATGTTTATTTCTGGTTTGACTTGGTGTTCACAGTCGATCAAATGTTCAAGGATCGAGCTGCAGGGGCATCGGTTTTCTCCTTTATAAAACCATGAAGGTAAATGTTCGTTGACGCGTTTGGATAGCGAACGCTGAGTACGGCAAATATACGAGCAGATGAATTGGTAGATGCACGTAGATGAGGCCAACAGCGGTAGCTTATCCTTCACGGACATACGAATCATTGGTCTCGCGGAGAACGTCACTCGTAATTCAGCTGCAAAGAAGGTTTTCTTCAATGAGCGGGGGAGCCGATTTCTCAGTATTTCTGTAGATTGGTCTCCATTGAACTGTAGGTTCATATAGAGAAGTCTTTTTGGAGCACTGGGTGTGGACGGCTTCTCTGGTCTGGGTTTCATTGATTTTGTGATAAATCTTTCTGGATAGCCATTTTCAAGGAGGATTTTCTTAAGAGTGTTCATTTGTGTTTACACAATGAAGCTGCTTATCACATTTGTGTTGTTTTTGTCACTTCATGGAGGAGGGAAGGGGTCAACCAAGTCTAATTTTATCTTAATCCATCATTCCTATTCATCAGGCAATTAAGATTCGGTTCAATATAAAGTGCTTTTTATACAAGATGTTCTTTTTTGATTTTTTACATTTTTAATGGCACATTTTATTATTATCAAAATCATTTTTTTTTGGCATGATTCTGTAGAGTGTAGAGCTATGGCTGATGAATTTTCAAGTTTTTCTAGCTCCACACTGGATTTCTTGATAGTTGATTAGAGACTTTGTGGTGTTCATTTTTTCTAATCTTGATTCCCTGTGAGGTTTGTCCGGTGTACATCGCATCACATTCTAAACATTTTATTTTGATAGACACAGTGAGACTGTGAATCCTTCAGAACTCGGCCTTTGATACAAAAAAGCTTGCTTTTCAGTATACTCAATGTTTTGAGTAAAGCTCTGATACTGTAGATTTCGAGTACTTTTCGGATTTCGTCTGATGTCTTCGATATATATGTGGAATAACAGCTGTTGGATGAAATAAAATGGAATCCAAATCGTCTGAATTTGAATGACTTGAAGAAAATTAAAAGACAGATTCAGCGAAGAAAATTTTCTTTATCGACGAAATCATCTTCAGAGGCTGTACAATCGTATTTATACTTACAAAAATATATAGTGGTCTATTATTGAGTAATAGGGGGTGACATAATTGATATAATTACTCAGAAGTGGCTTTAGAAGTGAGAATTATATCAATTATGTCACCCCCTATTACTCAATAATAGACCACTATATATTTTTGTAAGTATAAATACGATTGTACAGCCTCTGAAGATGATTTCGTCGATAAAGAAAATTTTCTTCGCTGAATCTGTCTTTTAATTTTCTTCATGACTCAATGGGTATTTTCGGTGATTTGAATGACTTGAATCCAAAACCCCCTCTTTCTAAAATGTGTTAAGCATTTTCATTGCTTAAGTATAGGCTACTTTTATGGTTCACAAACTCAGCAAGCTCATCAGTCTGTACATAATTGGTACCTTTACCATTTCACCCACTGGACAAGGTAAAAATTATTTCTCATGCTGAAGAACTATGGGATTAAGTTACTGTATAATAAGCTACGATTTCGTAAATTCTGGTTTAGTGTTACTTTGATGAAGGTATTAACAGCAGCGTATAAATATTGGAGTGTCAGTAAAAGAAAACAATATCGTTTTGTTTCCTCATTCATTTGGAAATGCAGAATTCTTTTTATAATAACGAATATTGTGTACTCAGTGTTCAAATTTTATTGAATCATTAAATCTGAACTTCTGTGGGACATATGTAGATGTCAAGATGTTTGAACAGGATGATATGTTAGATGGTCGGAGGCAATCGGCAGGAAGTCTTGCCTCGCCTAGGTTTCGTGCTTGTTGGTACTCACCAGTCAACAAGGTTTGTATCTGCAACCTTGAAGGGACCCATGTCCTTTCTGAGACTTTAACCCGGATCCCCCAGTGTCACAATCAGAGACCTTACCACTGAGCTATTTGGGCTCTCGACTGACCCCCTACAGGACTGTAATAGGTAGTTCGATTGGACACTAGGTGGTAACTAATTTCACACATTTAGTCGTTCGTTTGGCGCACTCTGAATTCTCTCAGTCAAGTCTTTAAAATACGACCATCAAGCTAGGTGACGTACCATTGAACGGCTCATTCTAAACTGATGTTAGTTTGATTAGATACTACTCCTTAGTGACCAGGCAGTGTGTTAACCACAGTCCTACAGAAGGTCAGTTGTTAGCCCAGATTACTTAGTGGAATCGTCTCTGACTGCACCAAAACGGATGTTGCGAGTTGAAATCGTAGAGGGGGGCGGTGAATCAGTTCCTTCAGGGTTGAAGATACACCATGCTGTGACGATTGGCAACAAGCACAGAAACCCTTGTCAGGTAAGGTTTCCTGCCGATTGCCTCCAGCCATCGAACATAATTTAGAGTGAGCTTCGGTGGCGAATCAGCTTGCCTGATGGCTATTTGGCAAAGTTGAATGACAGAAATGAATCTGCACCAGTACTATGGACTAGACGTATCGGATTGTCTACGCCATAATACAGAATTTATGAATTTAGAGGTTGAACAGCAGGCCAGGATAATAGTAGTGGCTCAACCTATCTCTATTGCAACGGTCTCTACTGGTCGGGCTACTTGGCATCTAGGGACCTTCAGCAATTTATTTGGTACACGATGGATGATAGAAAAGACTGTGGTCTGTTTGGACGACGTGATCTAATACAGAACTGTTAGTGATTTCAACAATACCTTTATTTCAACATAAAGAAAATATTCATTCAGACATCTATAAAACATAAAATAATTGAACAGAGAATATCCTTTTGCGATTATTTCCTCTTCTGGCTCTACAATTATATATGCATGTTTATGTACATAGAATATTCTAGATTAGTAGTCAATAACAATATTGGTATGTTTTTTAAATAATATCGATTTGCAAAGATCAATGGAGTTACAGTTCATTAAAGATGCTTAAATTATAACAATAATAATAATAAAGATATAGTAGCAAATAGCATATCAACTGAAATTAGGGAAATTTCTACAAAAATTGAGGACCATTCAAACCTAGATGGCAAAGGTAACGACAATGTCTGAACTAGCTTCTTTTGGACGCATAAATTAGGCTTGTTAATATGGATCCCAACAGCCTCAGCAGTATTTGGTAAATGAACTCTTAAGGCGAAATTGAGATTTGTTGGCATGCGGTAAATGACTTTTAAAGCCAGCTCGTTAACATCAATCTTGTATTCTGTATCCACAAGATGAGATAGAATAGCGCTGTGAATAGATTTTGTTTGTCCTTTACTTAACCAACCACGAAGGGTGATGTTCGGAAATTCGACGAGAAACTCGCCTAATTCTACGGCGTATGAAACTGGCTCACTTCACAGGAGCAGTTAAATTGGTAGATACACATGGAAGAGACGAAATTAGGCAGTTTGTCTTTTACTCCCGAACGCAAAATAGGAGTGTTTTGAAGACACAGAGTAATTCGGCGGCGGAGAATGCTCTTTTTATCGCCATATTCATTAGGCGTTGTGATAGTATCTCGTTGATGTCATCCCCGATGAACTGCATTTGTAAGAATAAGGCCTTTTAGGAACTGTTAGTATCTTGGGCTGCTTTGATTTTAAATTCATATTCTTATCAATAAACTTTTCTGGATAGCTATTTTCACTCAGCAACCGTTTAATATTATTGAGTTCCTCATCAAGACATTCATCCGAGCAGATTGCTGTTGCTTTGTGAACCAAGCACTTTATCAGATTGCGTTTTTATTTCAAGGGCATGAAGCTGAAAAAATGAATATATTGACCCGTTGATGTAGGTTTTCTATATGCACTTCTTCTTATTGCACCATCCTATTTTCTGTTCATAAGGACGTCTGGAAATGAAATACTAGAATCTTTTTCTTTCTCATTGGTAAAATTTATTGCAGGTTGAACATGGTTAAATTTGTCCAGGATGTTCTTTGCTTTGTCCCCATTTTTCGTAATCAAAAATGTATCATCCATGTGCCGAAAATAGAATTCAAGTTCATCAATTACATCTTCCAAAGGTCCATTTTCTAGTTTCGGAAGAAAAATGTCGGCTAAAATGGGTCCTAGTGGTGACCCCGTTGCCACACCATCGATTTGTTGGTATAGTTCCGTATTAAATAAAAGGCAGACATTCATTGTGCCTTTCAAGAGAAGCTCTTTCATAAAAGATATAGGAATGCCAACATCGATGTTTCGTCTTATGAGTTCTTTGCTGGGAGGTATTCCCACCTACGAAAAATAAAATTCCAAGAGCAACGGCTAATATCAAATGGATCCACAGGAGCACTTGAATTAATAGATACAATAAGAGTTGGCTACAAAAAGGGCTCACTACATTCTCTGATGTCACTGGATTTCATAATTATGTATGATAACTGTAATTATTACTATTATTACTACTAATACTACTGAATAGTGTTGGATTTTTCTTCCACAGTATCCTCAACTATTTGCTGGAATATTGTCACCTTGGAAAGGATTACTACTGTACGGACCTCCAGGTAAATACATTGCTATGATTGTTGTGTGTGTTTATGTATGTTGTATGTATGTATATAAACTGTTCTATGAAACGTCTGTCTAAGTTAACATTTAGACACCTAAAAGGTGGGAACGCATTCATGACCTTTTTAAAGAGTTCTAGCGCTCAAAAGCAAAGCTAGCCCCCTAACTCTAACCTTTCCTTGACCTAACCTTAATCTACTCGTAACAGACCCTAATGCCTCCCCAACCTTAACCTTTGCCTAGCCGCAACCTAACCTTAGTCTTTCGTTAGCCTAAGCTAAAACTAGCCGGATATCCCATTTAATATCAGTACTCTTCAGACAACACTTTTTTCCTCACTATAGTGTCGTTCACCTGGTTTCAGTGCCTTACTTTGATTGAGCGTTCTAGGGTTATTGGTACGCTGGAACCTGTTGAATATCTCCTCACTATTGCCAAGAAATACACCACACAAAAGCAGTGATATATGTTATGTGAAAAAGAAACAGAATCATAAAGAAGCCGGATCACGAAAACAGGCAAGCCTACCAATGAAGAGAGGATTCGCCACTTTGCATTACTTTCAGAAAGAGAGGGAAAAGTAAAGTTTCATCATTCTTGCCACTGGCTACCATTATCGGTCATATTTATTAATTTTTCGAGCCACTAATATTGTGGTGAGAGCTATCTGCAAACCAAAATTGTAGACAAGAATTTACGCCAATGTTAACGTCCCAAATCGTGGTCATGAAAAAAAAACAACAACAAAGCTTAACCTTGAGGAACTCATCAACCAATCACAGCAGACTTAACGTGTGCAAATACGATTCGCAGATATATGGCTTAACTTTCTAAGAAACGGTCACAAGTAGTACAGAATAACCTTCAGCAAGAAAAAAACCAATCAGAAGACGCTGTTTCTCTGCTAATAATAACGAATAATAATGTACATAAAAATCTATAAATGTCTGTTGATTTTCTGAATAAGCGACCTGACTTTTGCTTTCTGTCGTTACAATATGAATCATCTATCAGACCCCACCTAGGCAAATGTGCTGTACCATCAGATACCAAACTAACGTCACTATCCTCCTATCACAGCACCATGTCATGTGCTAGTCATCCCTCTACTTTTAATACCCACTTCCAGAGCTAGCAGTGACTGAACAGTATGATAATTGCCGGGATGCCATCCATATTATATGTTCAAAACATTGAAACCAGTGTATCAAAATGACTATGATTATTGAAAGACGATCTCCACCGTATCCAAGCACACGCCGCCAGACCTCAAGATTACTTACATGATTATGCTATCAGCTACGAGCTGAGTGGCAGCAGACCCTCAGCTCAAAGGGACTGGGTTTCACAGCCGTACAGCCAGACCCTATATGCCGAAGAATGTATGCCATTCATTTAGAGAGGAAGAGAAATTTAAATTCATGGTTGGTAATTAGCGATAAAACTGATTTGGATATATGTAGGTATCCTACATTAAATGCTTTTTTTATAAATGAATGTAATATGATAATGCGTTAATCATAGTGATGGGGAATGCCAATTTTGAAGTAAAGACAGGAAGCAAAATGATGCCGCCTACTATCACCGATGATATTCATGATTTTGTTTGACTAGATCATGCAGCAGACCGTGGGAAGCGAGAAGAGGGGCATACGTTAGACAGAGAAGAAGATTCTAGAAGATATTGACTTTGTTGATGGTTTACGTTCAATGAAGAAGATCCACAGCAGAAAACCGATAAGTTGGCAGAATGGACAGGCAACGAACACAGGACTTTAAGTGAACATAGAGTAGACAAAGGTCATGAAGATACACGGTCACAAACAACAACAAGAACCAGTCACTATCAACAGGAAAAATATGAAGGAGGTCATTTTCACTTATTTGAAATGCATCCTGTCAAATAAAGGCTCGGCGAATGAGAATGTCAAAGCCGGCCAAGATCGGAAAAGTAATCTGGACCTTCATCCCTCTAAAATCACTGCAGAAATCCACTGCTATAATATATAATATTCATTGTCGTTACAATAATGACAGCTAATTATGCGACGAATACTCTTCTTAACTTGGAAGTATAGATTAGTTATGGGGTGTCAAAATAAATAGTCGTATTTGAGTGACAAACGTGCTAGCCTCAAATCGATTAGAAAATATTGTACAATGGGAGACAACGGTGGTGATTAGTCATCATAGACTTGTAGAGTGTGGGGTAGGGAAACTGACAAGTCAGTTCAAGGTTATAAAAGGTGTCAGGTAAGTGAGTGGTTAGTACAAAGTGGTATGCATTAAATAGGAGGTAATAGTAAGACTGCAATGGGAGGTTCATAATGAAATAACGAATGTGTGAAATGAAACAGGTGGAGGCATATATTGAGAAGAGAGATAATATCACTAATAATAAGTCCGGATAGTATAAATGGAAAATTCGATAGTATTGAATGTTTGCATGAAAGGCAATAAATTATGACGAATAATAATAATAATTGTAATAATAAGCAAAGGAAAAAAAGCCAAGAGGGTCAAGGGGAAGGAACACTCTTGGTGAGAAGGAGAATCATCAGTAAAAGTTTGGCCACTGTAGGAACGTGTTCTTTTTGGATACAAAGTTCCACTCTAGTCGATCTTGTCGCAACAGCTTCAGCTATGTATAGGAGACGTAAGCGAACTGCACGTGATAACGACTTCGGAATTCGGTATACAACCCTGAAAGCTGTGTTGACTTCGATGCTATGTTCAGTAGCGACCAAGTGTGACACGATCGAGCTTTTTATGCACTTAATATCCCCCCCTGCTGAACCAAGCTGGTAAATGTTCTCGAACCCGTAGACGAACCTGCCTAATCGTGCGCCCTATAAAACTTGAACCACAGGAACAGCTGAAATGGTATATGCATGAAGAAGAGTTAAGGTTAGGTAAGACATCTTTGAGTTGCTGGATGAACATTGGACGGCTACTGAAGGATAGACAGAGACCCCACACTCTACAAATCTATTATGACTAATCACCACCATTGTCTCCCATTTTACAATATTTTGTAATCGATTTCAGTCGAGTACGTTTGTCACACAAATAAGACTATTTATTTTGACAACTAATAACTAATCTGTTATTCCACGTTTAATAAAATGTATCCGCCGCATAACTGGCCATTATTGTGACGACAATAAATATTATATTTTATAATTGTAAGAACCTGAAAAGGAGAAATTATTAAAAAGATTGTTCTTCGTTCAGATTGACTTTTAATTCATGATATGGGAATATTTCACACAATGAAATCTACTACAATCAGCAAAACAAACCACCTCCAAATTTTCAACACTAATCTCAAGTTAGTCACAGTACCTCTATATGGTTCAAAGACTCTACGCACGCGTCACGAAAAGTACTTCCCACAGTCTGAGGAATTTCACCAACACCTGCCTCCTTCACTCGATACTGAAAATTAAGTAACCAAACAGAAAGAGAAAGCAACAAGAAACTCTGATAATGAACTAACCAGGGACCTTTTATGTGACATATATGCATAAGGAAATGCGGTGGATTAGACCTACATAATCATAGCAGGCCCTGGGATGCAACCTGAAATGGAAACGACTAGTTGGCCATGTGTCCTTGGGTGACATGAAGGAAATTTTATGAGGAAAAAATAAAAGTTTACGGGGAATCATGAAGTCAGTTAAAAAAGACCGCAAAAAAGTAGAGTGAAATGAAATCACAATGGAAATTTAACTTAAAACCGCTCGAATGCCAGACAAATCTAACAGCTAAGCACTAATCCACTGTCAACGAACGATTAGCTCAGATACAGAGTGCATAGCATTTTAGGTGGTGGAGAATGTGAGAGTCGATGACCATAATGCACGTTGTGTCGCCTATACTACTTTATGATTTCTAAGTATTATTTTAAAGTATTGATTTGTAGGGACTTGATTGATTGGGTACAGGATTTCATCATGAGCTGACATCGGTTAGAGAACCATTGGGAAACCAGCTGGGAATAGTGGACAGCCAGCTGTTTCGTCAGCCTAGTTTGGGACTCTTCATCAGTACGCACCCACCGCCAGGGTTCGAACCCAGGACCTTCTGGTTGCAAGCCAAGGCAAGCTCGTAGACCATTCAGCCACTGGGACTCTATCCAATGGATAAAAACTACATGTTAAGCTATGATGAACTGCTTTTATAAAGTCTCGAAATGAAATTTCACTACACATGCTAGAACAGCTATCATTGGCCTCATTAACTCTTAGTACACTTTGGTTTGGCATGCCTTAGCAGAATTTATAGCATATTGAAGACCATAACCGTCACAGTTGTTAGTCAATGGCCATTTCATCAACTGAATCGCCTATCCTAACCAAAACTGTAATTCACATCTCTGAGTTGGGTAGACGATGATCCTAGCGAACACTACCTGTACTACACTGACAATGCTGAGCGAATATTCGAAAGCTCGAGAGAGCATCAGACTCTTTAACCATCACGTTCCACGGTTGAAATACATTTCCACATCAATCCTATCTAGGTTGTTATAGTAGTTATTGCCTGAAAAATATGTTCCATAGCTTACTCATGCCACAGTACGTATATGCGAAGTAACCCTCTATTTGTACTTTTAGAATGTATCTGATTGGTCATTAGATAGTGACTACTGCCATGCGACTAGCCCTCCTGCCGACTTCTTCCAACCATCTAATAAAAAAGTTTTTCAGGTATTGGTTTTTAGGGATTTGACTGATACCCATATTTTAAAATCAATGAGATGCTCACTGGCGGCTGGCCCTATTCAGGTAGGTAGGTTGTTACCTGGGGTTCTAGTGGGGAGTCGTAAACAGTAAGGTGCAGCAGGTCGGATGTGAGGAGAAATACTTGCCGAGGACATTGCCTAGTCATCGCGCCATGTCATGAATTGGATTGGGTTCCAACAGCTCAATGGTCTACAAGCTCACCTTGTAACTGGAAAGTCCTGGATTTGAACCCCTGTGGTGGGCACGTACTGTGAAGAGTCCCAAACTAAGCTGACGAAACAACTAGCTGTCCAGTACTCCTAGTTGGTTTTCCAGTGGTTCTCTAACTGATGTCAGCTCACGATGAAATCCTGTAAAAAGAATGCCTTTCATAACCTGAGGTACATTGGTAGATTTATTTGATAACTTGTTTTGTTCCCTAATCAATCAACTGACAAGTTAATCAACATACTATGAGTTATACTACTTAATTTTACTAACTACTTAAATTCTATTTAGCAGATTAGAGAGTATTTCTATTTTGTGCTTCTTTAGGTACAGGAAAAACTCTCTTAGCCAAAGCTGTTGCCACAGAGTGTAAAACAACATTTTTCAATATTTCTGCATCAACCATTGTCAGTAAATGGAGAGGGGATTCAGAGAAGCTAGTTCGTGTAAGTTATTTGGTCATATGTGTGACGGTCATTCAAAAGAAGCTATAATTCATGGGTCATTGTTTTCCAGCCAGCAGGTTGAACTGTCAACGAACTGATCCTGTAACTTGTAGGTCCTGGGTTCGAACCTTATTAAGGTCATGAGTGAGCACTGATGAGGAGCCTTAAGCCAAGAAAAAACATCTGTCCACAATGAGCTCTTTTTAATCATATTTTATGTGCATTCTATAGATTTCAGTCAGTGCAAAATGGACTAGCTACCATCGACCACCGACCAATTTTCATGCCCCATCCAGTCAACATTCGTGGCTAGATAACTCAGGCACAAGTTCTTTGATTTTAGGACAGAATGAAGTCTCTGTGAAGGGACATTCTTCATTGATGAGAGCAGACTGGCAAAAAGCCTAGTTGAAATGGTGACTTCTGGCGGTCGATCCCGAAAGGTACTACAATAAGAATGTAGTTAGAGGGAAAACTTTTGAAGACAAAGTGTTTCTGTCAGTTGTAGCGACCTAAAACCGACTCGCTGTGGGAACTGATCTTTGCATTCTAATGTAAAGTTGTCTAAACTTCGTTGAGACGCTTCAAAGACAGCAGAAAGACGGTGATTCTTCGATAAATCTGTGGTTCTGTTCAATAATAAAAGTAACATAAAAGACTGAGAATTACTCCAACGGTGCCGTTAGGTAGCTATACAGGTTAGGCAGTAAAAAGAAAGTGCTGTAGAATACAGTCAGCTAACCGAAGTTTAACTGGTAGAAGTACCTGAGAATCAAGTAGAATATTCCTAGAAAGGCGGAATCAAAAACTTCTTCCACAAGAATCACACACCAGTACCTCCCACAGACAGTCCAAAGGTCCGAATGTCCCTGTTTCAGTCAGACAAAACCACATCGTACAAGACATTATCAATATACACACAATCATAAAGAGAAGCGCTAAAACCAGCGATTAAACAGGGACAGAAACAAATAATGAGGATCATACCAACATGTGTTATGCAAATTTCAGGACAATGACATACAGTCTAGGAGAAAAAGGGATGATAATTACAAAGTTAGTCGAAATATCCGAATAAGTTTAAATATCGTGATTAGGTCGTTCAAGAGGGATTTTCTAAAAAATTTTGCCGTTACATAAGTTTACTATCAAGTGTCTTACAAATAACTGTAATCTATATTATTCTAAATATAATATTGATTATTTCAATCTATTAGGATATTATTTCTTGTCAAGACAGTAGCTGGTCACTTTGGATGGGTGAAGTAACTTTTGTTCACCTAAGGTGATGTTGTAAGGGAAAATCTTGGCCATAATAGGTCTCCTGATCAATACTTTGTAGGTTACCGGTGCTACCTACCAAAAAATACTAATCAGTTGGTCAGGATAGCGTCCTATCAGTACTAAGAATTTGCCCATTTAGAATGCTTTATGAAAACAAAGGTTTTTCATCTTACTTGTGTGCGTCGGTGGCACAGCAGTAGAATGTTCGCCAACCACGCAGGTGCTCCGGGGTTCGATCTCCGACCACAGACACACTCCTTTACCTCGCTAAGCCAGTAGTAAGACTGATAAAGAGGGAAGTTTGGGCATGGGGCTGGTTAGCAACCCCATCCCATAAAAGTAAACACCAATGCTACAGAAACTTCAAGCGTATACCTTGAAGCCCTATGTCCCACTGGGAACGTAAAGGAATAAAAAAAATCCCACTTGTAGCCGTCATTTTTACTGTTACATGTTTGCTACGGACAAGAATTATTAGGTAGTTATATTGTTATCACTTCCCTGGGTGTCCACACCACTGAAGTTGATTTGTTCTTGAAGTACCTCGAAGAAGGAGTCAGTAGTGTGGCGGTGAAGTAATCAACTGGTGAATGGTGACTAGCAGTGGAATACGGGATGCACATTTCGTTCCATTTGAGACGCGGTATCTGGATGTACTTGCATTCCCCAGTGAGTGGTCGACGGCGTTCCCACTGAGGCTGGAACCCGGTGCCCATAGTTTCAAACGCCAAAGCGTCATCCACTAAACCACCTGGGCCACGAGTCACCTTTTGTGCAATGGGTCTTCTTAATTATTTAATCCCGTCGACTAATTTAACCAAATGGTCTAGTGGATAACGCTTTGGCGTTTAAAACTATTGGCAATGGGTTCGAGCCCCAGTGGGAACACCATCGCCCACTGGGAAACGAAGGTCGATCCAGTGAAGAGTCCCAAATAGGCCAAAATACGCATCCTGGGTTTCACTGCTAGTCACCAAAGCGCTAGCTGACTTCAAGTTACATGACAAGGAGCCGAGAACTTCGGTCCAATCATTTAACGTAAACCTTGTTTTTCTGTATACCGGGATTATTTACACCTTATCTTCAACGCACCATTTGCACAGATCTTCCGTGTTGTGCTACTTCTGGTCTTTATAGTGTGTTTCCTTGTGTTTCTTTGACGTTGCCTTCCATGTACCTTCACAATGCTGAATCATTTGCTTTCTCTGACATCAAATCTATCTCCCTGCTATTTTATGTTTTTATGCCAATGCACATCTCTTTAAACATATATACTACTGATGAATCTTATCGGTAGTACACCCAACAAAAGTAGTATGATGACTGTAGAGTTCTTTTTTTTGTATTACGCAAATAAGATTTTGAGTTAGACAGACAGACGTGATGACCACACAATGTCGTTACGCTACGCCATCAAAGTAAACAACAGCTATCTATTTCCCAATGTCCACACTACTTAAGCGAGAACACACAACGATGTGACATGGAAAGTATAGTTCAGTATAAGTATATTTACAAAATGAAACATATATATATATAAGGCGAGTGATGTAAGCAAAGGAAAGATAACCAATAAGAATGTATGTTTATGCCCCTTTATGAATTTGAATAAAGCTGGAACGTCAGACGTTTGTGCAGAATAAAATGATACCATCATCGTTTATTTCTTTGGCTTCTCATCAACTGCTTACAGCTTATCCAGAGAGTTCAAGTTCAAGTGAAAAATCAATGTATACATACAATGGCAGTAATAATCACTTTATTCCAAACAACAGTAATCACACAGAGTCATTACGTAATCAAACGAAAGAGAGAATAAAGACATCCAGTTACCAGGATGGGCAAGGGGAGACTTCCAACAGCTCCTTTCTCAACACACATATCGCGTTTCAGGTGTTTGATGGAGGTTGCTCCGGCTAACTTGGGAACAATTAAACTGTCTTGCCTATTGGTAATCTTGAGACACCCACCTAATGACCCCTATCATCAAAGAGATGTCTGACAATGGCACTACCGAAAGCATTTATTCATATTCAGAAAGTCGGTGTTTATGGTTAGATTACGGTGGGTTTAGGGAAAAATTAAGGTTAGGGCAAGGCAGGTTACACGAAATGGTCTTTTGAAGTCGTTTGATCGTTTGAAAGTCATTGGTAGATTTGCACTCTTGGATCACGAAACTGTAACGCTACGGACAACTCTAGAATACGTCAGGATGTAAACAGCTTTCCTTAGATTAGACATGCACCATATATGGGTTGCTAACCTTCCTCTGGAGATACCTTATCGACGTTATACTCCACTCAGAGAGAAAAGTATGGTTTTGTCCTCAGACTCACAACAACTACTTACGGTAAGATGGTAATTGTTTTCTATTTGATCACTATTCTAAGTCATCCTTCTAGTCTGTGAAGACGTGTAAAGACATTTGTTTCAGCCTGTATAGCTCATTTGGTCATTGTGATATGAGGTCATCGGGCATACATTGAGGAAACCGTCCAATGACATCGTGCACAATGCAGTCCATCACTCCAGTGAAATCCCGATGGGAAGCAATGAGCGGGTCGTCAGTGCAAGGGTGACATGGTGGAGATCGTATGGTAGGGAAGAGGAGATAAGAGATTATGGGCAATCGTGGACCCAACTGAAGAGGATGGCAGAAAACAGAAGGAAGTGGAGATCTGTTGTTGAAGCCCAACTGTGTTCCACTTGGAACCCAAGGGAATTATAATAATAATAATAATAGTATGAAGTCACAACCACCACGTCAAAATGGTAGTAATCGGTCAGGCTTTGTGTAAAATATGACAAGCCACTGTAATAAAATGCAGTTTATCTTCTCTGGAAATCCTTTTTTTAAAGATTTACCAGTACTAACTAACATCGAATGTTTTTATATTGCATTAAACCTTTGGCAGGTTCTATTCGAGTTGGCTAGATTTCATGCCCCATCGACTATATTCTTAGATGAATTAGACTCTTTAATGTCACAAAGAGGTTCAGTATCTGGATGCAGTACATCCGGGGGCGGTGGAGGTTCAGGCATATCTATGGGTAGTGAACATGAAGGTTCACGTAGAATGAAAACAGAATTATTAATGCAAATGGATGGTTTAGCTAAATCTGATGATCTGGTCTTCTTGTTAGCAGCTTCTAATCTGCCATGGTAAGAATTGGAACTAGTAATTTTTGTGTTTATTCTGAGTATCTTCATTTTTCAAGCTTTTAACTTGTGAGATGTATATATAGAAAGTCTGTTAATTGCGTGATAATATATACATACTACTGGTTGGATGATATGAGTAGTTGTAATGAGTTGTACATTATTATTCGTTATTGTTAGGAGAGAAGCAACGTCTTCTGATTGGTTCTTTTCCTGTTGAAGGTGATCCTGTCATCTATTTGTTACTGTTTCTTAGACAGTCCGTTGATTTTTCTGCTAATCGAAACCGCCCACGCAAAGTCTCCTGTGATTGGTTGTTGAGTTAGTCTTGGTTCCTGTGTTTTTTTCTCATGACCAAGACATGTTATGTAAACATTGAGGTAAATTGCTGTCTACCAATTTCGGCTAGCAGACAGATCTCACCACTTATATCAACTCGTAGTACCTGCTGCCTAGCTAGTTAGCCAGATCGATGCGATCTGAACAATGGAAAGCCGGTGTACCTCTTTTGACACAGCTCAAACAGTAGAATCTGTGAAAACCACCAGAATTATGTCTGGTTGATTGGTCGAATTGATGTTACATTGAATTAAACTCTCAGCTTGCAAACTAAATTCATGATTTACAAGAGGGAGAAATTTCGTGGCTGGTTGATGTGAGTTATATCCAATTACCCGTAGCGAACAATGGTAAGCTATGATGTTAACACATTATCTACTAGTGTGCCCATTCCCGATATCATTTCCAGTCTACTAGAATCAGATACAACGCTATAAAAAAGACGTCCACTGGACACCAGGGAAATAATTAAGAGCTTGAAATTCTGCCTAGAAAATAATTATTTTACATTTAAAGGGAATTTATATAGACAGATAAATGGTGTTGCTATGGGTTCACCAGTTTCCCCAATAGTCGCTGATCTTTTTTATGAATAGATTTGAAGATAACATCTTTATAAGCATACTCATGCCTAAAATGTGGCTGAGAGACGTTGATGATACTTTTGTTGTGCTAAAAGAAGATCTACACAATTCATTCTTGGAAAAACTTAAGGATCTACCTCCGAGCATCCAGTTTATTTCGGAAGCAGAATCAGACGTCAGTGAACTACCATTTCAAGACTGCCTAGTTAAGAGAAGGAAAAACGGACATTTTAGTATATCCATATTCAGGAAGAAAACCCACTCCAACAAATATTTACGCTTCGGATCATCACACCTAATCAGCTCAAAGATCTCAGTTGTTTCAAGTCTTCTTAGACGAACACACTCTTTGATGGTAGTGGATGAGAAGGAAAAAGAAGAGGAAATATCAAACATTATGAGACTCTCAAGAAAAACAACTACCCAAAGAACTTCATCAACAAAATCAACACTGACATTAAGTATGGTCGAAAAAGTGTTCCGAAAACATTCAACTCAACAGTTGTCATTCCACATAAATGAGAAACCTCAGACGATATCAGAACAGTACTCAATAACCACAACTTTAGAGTTTTCTTGAAAACATCAAACACACTACAAAGCAACTTTGTCCATGTAAAGGACCAAATTCCTAAGGATTCTCTATGTAATTGTGTCTACAAAATAAAATGCTTGGAATGTGATGCGAAATACATCGGACAAACAGCGCAAGAAGTAAAAATCAGAAGAAATGAACACCGTAGAGCATCTGTTCGACAACCAAGAAATCCAAATGAATTGGAAAAACTTGAAAAATCATCAGCCATAGGTCTACACGCTATAGAATCAGGCCACAAAATTGATTTTGACAATATTGAAATAATCCAGAAAAAGCATTTCAGAAATCACAAAGAACGTCTAATATCATCGGAAGTACTTCATATCAAGTGGAATCCAAATTGCCTGAATAGGAATGCTGGACTCAAACAGAATCTCACATGGTTACAACACCTCCCTCCCTCATGAAGTGACAGAATCAACACGAATGTGATGTGCAAGTTCACTATGTAAACATACATGCTGCTTTTACAATTTTACACAATTATCAAATCCAACAATCTACACCTGGTTTTGTCATCTTTACCAGTTGCCAACTTAACAACATTAAAACTACCTCATTCTGAAGAAAGACGATTAAATTTTTTATCTATAAGCTGAGTGGATTTTGTAAATTCTGGTTTAATAATACTACTTTGATAAAGCTATTAGCAGCAACATTAAATAGCGAAACGTCAGTAAAAACAACAATATCGTTTTGTTTTTCAGTCATTCATTGGGAAATACAAAAACTTTTATAATATTGAATATCATATACGCAGAGCCCAAATTTTTCCAAACTGTTATAAGTGAACTTGGTATGGATTCATATATAACAGTCAGTAGTACATAGCATCATGAATTTACGCCTTTTTTTCTTTCGTGACTGCCATTTTCGTGTTACCAAGCAGATCACATAGTGTGGTGATCTGAATAATTTCGGCTCGCCCTGAGGACTAAGGTGAAATTTCGCCTCCTCGAACTGTGTGTAACTGTGCAAGTCGGGAATTTAACCTCAAAGTTATGAATTCGATTCGAAACTTTACAAAATCTGCGTGTGTATAATTTGAAAAAACAAAAACAACTTCATTACAGCAAATTGTAGTTACCTTTTAGGCAATTTAAATTTCGTACACTTCAACTGAAGAAACTCGATGATGACCTTGAACCGACTAACTGTATTCAAATGACTGACTGATTCGGATGGAGAGAAACGGAGGGAAGTCAAGTTCAGTGTATTGATAATTATTACTGTTCAGGATTTTACGGAAAAGATTTCACCTGGAAAATGCTCTAAAATTAAACCTAAGCCCAATAATCTCTGATCTTAACTTTAACTTAACTCTCCAACTCTAATCTGACTGAATTCTGTTAGTCAGGAATGTAAGTGTAGAACATGGGCACTGTGGTGGTGGAATGTAATCCCATATTACAAAAGTTAATTTTTAAATGTCACACAGTGATGATGCATTATTAACAACTAGATGACAATGTTTTGAAGATAAATCATTGCTGCTCATAATCATACCATTTTTAGTCACATGACTTCACAATTCTTCTTATACACATTATCTCTCTATTCTCTCTTTCCAACTTCCCTTTGTCTTTTATTGCTACTTTCCATATCTCCGGTACAGGACAGGCACATAAGACAGGCGGCCTGTTTGACACCTGGGCTACCTTTCCGTACATCTACATATTTGCATCTAATACATCATGTTTTCATTTTTAATTTTAACAAAATATGATCACAAATCGTATCAAATACAGTAATGAATTCATTAAATGTTTTAAACCATATGACTTTCATGCATCTAATAAAACTAAGAGAAAACATCATGGTGGTTGGCAACGTGCTCTCAAACGGACACCTTTATTTCGCACAACTATTCCTGTTATTGTCAGTTCAAGCTGCCGTTCACTTCCCAACAAAATTATGCATCTCCAGTCTCTCTTATCATCTGGTACTTATCACAATATGGCGATAGTTGCATTACAAGAAACATGGCTCCATGATCTTTTTAATGACAATCTGGTTTCTCTAAACGGTTTTACATTGTTTAGACAAGATCGACTATGCTCTAGAAAGAAAAGAGGTGGAGGTGTTGCAACCTTCATTCATTCTCAGTGGTCAACTTCAAATAATGTATGTTTTTCTTTCTCTAGTGACTTTGTTGATTGTATAACAGTCAAATGTCGTCCGAAACACTTATCCAAGTTTAAATACGTCTTGTGCTGAAAATTCCACACTGTCCCACTAGTACTGTTTCTGGAATAAAGCAAATTATTATTATTATTACAGGCAATGCGTTGCGTCATTTTGATTGCACGTCTGCTGTGTTCAGTCGATAAACAAAGCTTCAGTGATATTAACCTCTCTCTCTACCAAACCGTATGAACTTTTTAATATTCTCACCCTGTGCCACCTTATTTTCTGATTACATGAAAGTGAGTGCAGTGTAATAGCTGAGCCTTGTTTTTCCTAGGTTATTTAACCTAGCAGGGTCTAGCAAAATTCTTATGTCCCAATAATCTAGTTGACCCCAATCACTAACAGTCATTACATGATATTTGGTAAATTATATTATTTTTCTTAATTGGATCAATCTGGTGGGTCCTTAAGCCGACAAAGTTTATCTATGGGAGAGTTGGTTGGTTGGTTAGTTGTTTTAAATGCCGCCCCTATTCCAACGTCACTGAGAATTCTACGTAAGGCCTCTGTTATTCCTTCTTTATACGGCAGTACCACACAGGATTTGAATTCTATATTATCTTCTTCGTTATTTTCGTCACTTTTCTTGCCATTCTTGGTTTTTCTACAGTTCTTCACATATTTCTGAATAAATTATGGTGACTAGTTATTCATGAGTAATATTTCCCTTTCCCAAGCAAAATACAAAGCCGCATCATCTTGGAGAGAATCAAACACGCCAACCTGGATGAAAAACTTCGACCGGAATAGGCTGGACTCAGGAGAAACAAGTCATGCATTGATCAGATCGCCACATTACGGATCATCATTAAACAAAGCTTGGAATGGCAGCCACCTCTCTATCTCAACTTCACCGACTCTGAAAAAGCCTTCAACAGCGTCAATCGAGAGGTGCTTTGGCAACTACTTCGCTACTACGGGGTGCCACCGACAATTATACATCTCATCCAACAGTTGTACAACATTGCTGCATACTACAAAGAGAAAACAGAGGTGATGAAGATTCCTGAGCAACACCACCAACAGCAACAACAACAACGGATAACAATCAGCATAAATGGAAGGAACCTGAAGGAAACAACCTCCTTTACTTACCTTGGAAGCATCGTTTCAACTACAGGCGAACAGAACTGATGAGGATATCAAAGCAGGGATCGGAAAAGCGAGACAAGCTTTCATTACTCTCAAGTCTGTGTGGAGGTCAACAGCACACTACTCACCATCAAAAATAAGATCCGGATTTTCAACTCCAATGTGAAGTCAGTGGTACTATAGGGATCAGAGACTTGGCG